TATTACAGAAAATTCTCACTTTGTCACAACTGCCACCAAGTATTACTGAGGCCAAGAGCTTAGCAGGCTGACATGGGCAATCTACAGTAGGATTAGGTAGGGTAAAAACATGTAAGGGAGATAATCTTCTGGCTTCAGGCTCTAGCCAGCCACTGACACAGATTTAGGAACACATGCAGCCTGTGAGCAGGTCATTCCTTAGTGCCTCCTACCGAGTTCCTCAGAGCCTCCCCCTTCCCCTGAAACAGCTGCTGCTGGGATACTGGGCTAGCTGGGCCTCAGGACAGATCCAGTGTGGCAAGTCCTATATTCCAATAAACCAACTTTGATTTGGGAAAGCCAGCCAAGCCCTGTTGTCCTAGTGAAACTTGCATGGCCTGGTTTCCTTCAACCCCTCACTTGAGCAGTGGATGTGTGAAAGAATGAGGGGCACACTGTACCCTGTGTTACCTGTATGTGAGTTATGCAGAGAAGTATGGTATCTATACAAATGTGGCTGCTGTGTATTTTTCGGCATACTGATTTATTATATGCATCCTATTCCTCAGGTGGAGGAGGCAAGGTGGGCGTAGCAGTGTATCCTACAAAGAGAGGTGAATCTAGGGCATAAACATAGGACTTGATCAAGTGATCAGATACCTACCACCCAAAGAACTAAAGCTACGAGTCAGAGGGAAGAGAAAGAGAGAGCTAGCAAGGTCTAGGGGCAAAAGCTCTGATGTCTCTCAGCTGGTGATAACAGCTTTCTCAAGTAGCAGCAGAGTAAAACTAACATTCTTGTCAGTTTAACTGGTGCACACAGGGATCTGGACAGCAGCTATGAAACTGACTGGGGTATTGTTAATTTCATTCTGCTGTTTCTTGAAAATGCCATGAAGGCCAGCAACCGCAGCAGCACTATCTACTGTCTACACACTGAAGGAGATAACGGTGCTCCAGTCACACGTCACAAAGTTTTATTTGCAGCCATAAGGACTATTATTATTATTGTTGATTATTTGTATTACAGTGGCATGTAGGAACCCCAGTCACAGATCAGGACCTTGTTGTGCTAGGTGCTGTACAAACACAGAACAAAGAGATTGGTCTTCCCTGAAGAAGCTGACAATCTAAGAAACTTAAAAAAAACCAACAAGGTTAAATTCCACAGAAATTGATGGCTTTGAGTCCTTCACACATCAGTAGCAAGTATGCGACACATTTCAGGTGCTGGCTAACTTGGGGTGGGGTCGTGTGGACCCTCCAAATGAGAATGGTGAAGATAAAGCCAGTGACTAATGTTATGCCTAGGAGTGTTCAACAGGGAAGAAATCTGGCAGTTCCCTAGGCCTGCCTTGTCCACACACACAAATTGCATCAATATAACTTAAGATAATTATAATTATATGGTTTACTTAAACTGATGCCAAAGACTCTGTGTAGACACACTGATACTGGTTTAAATCAGGCTCAGATCAGTTTAGCATAAATCAATTAGAAAGAGAGTTAAATCAAAAAATCAGCATCCACACAGGGTGGTTTATCTAAAAACATTTTAGGTTAAATCAGCAGTGCAACTTCTGTAGATAGATAAGGCCTCCATTTCAGGAGTCAGGTGAACTGAGCAGAAATTCCACTAACTGAAAGTCCCCTATATGCACCATTGCATACCTAGATAGTTATGTAACTGCTTTCTCTCCTTCCCTCAGCAGCACCTAGAAGCAAGATATCAACAGTGAAGGCATGACAATAATTTGACTCAATAATGCATCCTTTACAGCTGCAGTACACATGTTGCAACATTGCAAACAATTCTCCAAATTTTCAAAAAAGGAAGTAAAGCAGGGAAAAAGGCAGGTAAATATAAAGAATCTCCCTGAGATTGTAAGAGGCCCTTGTAGTAAGTGTGATAAAAATGTGAATGCTTAAGGTTTTTTTTTTTAGTTATTGAAAAGTAAAGCTTGACAAAATACATTTCTCTCAAGGTGAGGAAGAGGAATGATATAAGGAATCACTTGTTATAAAATACGTTTGCCAAGCTAGTCCTGCTTATTGTTTTTATTTCTATAACACCTAGATGTGTAAAAAGAAAAGGAGTGCTTGTGGCACCCTGAGCTGTAGCTCATGAAAGCTCATGCTCAAATAAATTGGTTAGTCTCTAAGGTGCCACAAGTACTCCTTTTCTTTTTGCGAATACAGACTAACACGGCTGTTCCTCTGAAACCTAGATGTGTGTTAAGTACTTTACAGCCTCCTAATGAGAGTTTAGGCACTCAGGCATTAGACGACTGGCAAGGCGCATACTCAGGATACGACACCATAGAAGAGATCAGGAAACGTTTTCTTCTCATTGTCTCATCACCCTGCCCCACCTGCCCAGACAATCTGTACAGTGGGGGTGCCGAGAGCCATTGAACCAAACTGTAAACCCTGCATATGATGGAAACCACTTCAATCCAGGGGGTGCGGCAGCCCATTGTGAGGGGCTGGGCCTAGTCCCATGGTGGGGCAGAGAGGGGAAGGGCGCTGGCCGAGGTCCAGTCCCATGGGGGGGGAACGGGAGCTGGGTCCAGTCCCATGGGGGGCAGAGAGGGGAAGGGGCGCTGGCCGGGGTCCAGTCCCATGGGGGAGGGAGAACGGGGGCTGGGTCCAGTCCCATGGGGGGAGAGGCAGAGAGGGGAAGGGCGCTGGCTGGGGTCCAGTCCTATGTGGGGCGGGAACGGGGGCTGGGTCCAGTCCCATGGGGGGGCAGAGGGGGAAACGGTGTCAGCCGAGGTCCAGTCCCATGGGGGAGGGGGAACGGGGGCTGGGTCCAGTCCCGTGGGGGGAGAGGCAGCGGGGAAAGGGCACTGGCCGGGGTCCAGTCCTGTGGGGGGGGAACGGGGGCTGGGTCCAGTCCCGTGGGGGGAGAGGCAGCGGGGAAAGGGCACTGGCCAGGGTCCAGTCCCATGCGGGGGGGAGGCAGCGGGGAAAGGGCGCTGGCCGGGGTCCAGTCCCGTGGGGGGAGGCAGGGGGAAAGGGCGCTGACGGGCCAGTCCCATGGGGGGGGGGGGGGGAAAGGGTGGGGGGGTCAGCCCGTGGGGGGGGAGCGGGGAAAGGGCGGACCGGGGTAGTCCCGTGGGGGGAGGAGGGGGAAAGGGGTGCCAGTCCCGGGGGGGGAGGAGCGGGGAAAGGGCGCTGGGGGGTCAGTCCCGTGGGGGGGAGGCAGCGGGGAAAGGGCGCTGGCGGGGTCAGTCCGGGGGGGGGGGGGAGGCAGCGGGGAAAGGGCGCTGGCCGGGGTCAGTCCCGTGGGGGGGAGGGGGGGAAAGGGCGGGGGGGTAGCGGGGGGGGGAGGAGGGGGAAAGGGCGCTGGCGGGGTCAGTCCCGTGGGGGGGGAGGCAGGGGAAAGGGGCTGGCCGGGGTCCAGTCCCGTGGGGGGGGGGGCAGGGGGAAAGGGCGCTGGCCGGGGTCCAGTCCCGTGGGGGGGGGGAGGCAGGGGGAAAGGGGTGGGGGGTCAGTCCCGTGGGGGGGGGGGGAGGCAGGGGGAAGGGGTGGGCCAGTCCCGGGGGGGGCGGGGAAGGGCGGGGGCAGCCCGGGGGGGAGCGGGGAAAGGGCGCGGCCCGGGGGGGGGGGGGGCCGGGGGGGAGGGGGGGGGGGGGGGGGGGGGGGGGGGGGGGGGGGGGGGAGGGCAGGGGGGGGGAAGGGGGGGGGGGGGGGGGGGAAGGGGGGGGGGGGGGGGGGGGGGGGGGGGGGGGGAGGGCGCGGGGGGTGTCCGGGGGGGGGGGGGAAGGGGTGGCCGGGGTCCAGTCCCGTGGGGGGGGGGAGGGGGAAGGGCGCTGGGGGGTCCAGTCCCGTGGGGGGGGGGGGAGGCAGCGGGGAAAGGGCGCTGGCCGGGGTCCAGTCCCGTGGGGGGGGAGGCAGGGGGAAAGGGCGCTGGCGGGTCAGTCCCGGGGGGGGGGGGGGGGGCGGCGGCAGGGGGGGGGGGGGGGAAGGGCGGGGGGCAGCGGGGGGGGGGGGGGGGGGAGGGCCTGGCGGGGTCAGTCCCAGGGGGGGGGGGGGAAGGGCGCGCGGGGCATCGGGGGGGGAGGAGGGGAAAGGGGGGGGAAGTCCCATGGGGGGAGGCAGGGGGAAAGGGCGTGGCCGGGGTCAGTCCCGGGGGGGGAGGCAGCGGGGAAAGGGCGCTGGCCGGGACTCAGTCCCATGGGGGGAGGCAGCGGGGAAAGGGCGCTGGCCGGGGTCCAGTCCCATGGGGGGGGGGAAGGCAGCGGGGAAAGGGCGCTGGCCGGGGTCCAGTCCCATGCGGGGGGGGAAGGAGGGGGAAAGGGCGCTGGCGGGGTCCAGTCCCATGGGGGGGGGGGGAAGGAGCGGGGAAAGGGCGCTGGCGGGGTCCAGTCCCATGGGGGGGGGGGAAGGCAGCGGGGAAAGGGCGCTGGCCGGGGTCCAGTCCCATGGGGGGGGGGGAAGGCAGCGGGGAAAGGGCGCTGGCGGGGTCCAGTCCCGTGGGGGGGAGGCAGCGGGGAAAGGGTGCTGACCGGGGTCCAGTCCCGTGGGGGGGGAGGCAGCGGGGAAAGGGCGCTGGCCGGGGTCCAGTCCCGTGGGGGGGGGGGAAGGCAGCGGGGAAAGGGCGCTGGCCGGGGTCCAGTCCCATGGGGGGGGGGAAGGCAGCGGGGAAAGGGCGCTGGCCGGGGTCCAGTCCCGTGGGGGGGGGGAACGGGGGCTGGGTCCAATTCCAATGGGGGGGAGACAGCGGGGGAAGGGCGTTAGCCGAGGGCCAGTCCCATGGCGGGGTAGGGTGACCAGATGAAACGGACAAAATATCGGGACAGGAGGAACAAAACAAACAAAAAAAGCGCCTGGAGCGGCCACGGCCGCAGTGCCGCGACAAGTGGCTCCCGACCGAGGGACAAAGAACTAACAGTCGGGCCGGGAGGCCTGGTCGCCCTCGGCGGGCGGGGGAGGGGCAGGGCGCTGGCCGGGGCCGGGGCCGGGGCCGGGGCGCTGTAGGAGCGAGCGGGGGTCTCGGGCGCTCCCCGCGCCGGGGTCTGTGCCGCGACCCAGGCTCGCAGCCGTTCCCCGAGAAGAGGCGCCTCGCCGCCGCCAGGCACTTAGCGCGGACAGCCCGGGCTCGGGGCGCGCCGCCGGCTGGGGCCTGAGCGGGGCCTTCGCGCTCCCAGCGGCGACGCGCGCGCGGCTCCTGGCTGCGGAGATGCCCCCCAAAGGGAAAAGCGGCGGGAAAAGAGGGAAGGGTGAGGCGGGGGGAGGGGCGGCGGGCTGTCGTGTCCTGCTCGGGGGAGGGATAGAGGGGGATGGGGAGTCGCCCTGCTGGGAAGACCATCGCCCGTTCCCTCAGCCCAGGGCAGCCCGTGTCCTCGCCAGGCGGGCCCGGGTCTGTGGCAGACCCTGGTGCCACCCCAGGAGCCGCGCCCGGCTAATGACGGTCTGGTTTGTTCCCAAGGAGGAGCCGCTGGCGGCGCGAGCAGTGGGGAGAGGCAGGCCCCGGCCCCGGCCCCGAAGGGCGGCGGCAGCTCTGTGAAGGTGAGTGGGGCGCGGAGGGGTAGCGGGGCTATAGGCCCATCTCCCCAGCTGCCGCCTTCCGCCAAGCACGTGGTGTGCCTAGGCGGCACGAGGCACAGGCTGTGGGCGCCCAGGCAGGGGCTGGGGCTCGGCCTGGCTCCGGGGTTCGTGCCGGCCCACATGGCGGCAACCCTCGACTGCCCAGTAAGATCCAGGGGGGTGAAGATGCCTCTCAGAGGCAGCTGCTAAGTGCAGTCTGCCTGCGTGACAGGGCAGTGGGACTGGGCTGCTGCCAAGCTGGTGTGCCGCTTGCAGCAGCAGGAGACAGGCTGGGCAGAGGACTGCCTGGCTCTGCCCTGGCTGCTGTTTGGGACAGCAATTGAACTGAATGTCCTGGGCTGGAGGTGGGAAGCCCTCCAATGGACTCAACTCTAGGGTGATGAGAAACACGCTGTGAGCTGCAGCAGTCAGGGCACAGTGGCACTGACAGGAGCCTATTCAGTTACCTGCAGTAAAATGACTGTTTTGTAGGGAGCTGAGCTGAGCCTCCAAAATGTAACTTCTCTCTGCTTTTGCATTCTAGGTTAGACACATCCTGTGTGAAAAGCACAGCAGAATCATGGAGGCCATGGAGAAACTGAAGTCTGGAGTGCGCTTCAGTGAAGTAGCCTCACAGTACAGTGAAGATAAAGCCAGACAAGGGGTACATTTCACTGATTGTCAGGCTTGTGCTGACAGCTCTTAGGTGGACTACCTGATGTCAGGGAGGCACCATTGGCTAGTGTAGAGGTGGCTATACGGAGGCCCGTGAGCCACATGTGGCTTTTTTACAGTTAAAGTGTGGCTCGTGAAGCCCCCCCACCCACCTTCAGTCCCCCCATTCTCTGCCTACCAGACTGGGGCAGCGGGAGCTCAGGGCTTCTGCCTGTGGCAGAGTGGTGGGGCTAGGAGCTTTTGCCCTGCTAGGGGGCAGGGGGGTCTTGGGGCTTCATCCTTGCAGAAGGAACCTGCTGGGGCTGAAGCACCTGCAGGCACGCCCAGCTCTCGAACTTCAGAAGACTATCGTATGTGGCTCGGAGAGTCAGTAAATTTGGCCATCCCAATCTAGTCGTTAGCAGGAGACTGGGACTCTGGGAAATCTACCAAGTTCCATAGTACTTATAAGTGGTGTCATAGCACTTAGCGGATAAATGATGTTGCATTGGGAAGTCTCTTATGGACTTCTTGGATCTCCTGCTCTTCCTCTTTCCTTGAAATAAGAGTCTTTGGGTGGGCCATATTTCTCCACCTGCCCCATCAATCTGGTCTTGCAGGGAAATGCTCTGTCACAGAGGAGGGTGTTACAGTATGCACTCAAAGTACTTCAACTCCACATTAGTCTGATCCTCTCAGTAAACTCAATCCATAGCCAGACCCCCTTGACAGAACACTAGCTCTAGCTTTTTACTCCTAGGGGAATTCATCACCAAAAAATTTAAAATTCTGCTCACAATATTTTAAAATTCTGCATATTTTATTTGTCAAAATAACACAATGTAATCACGCCAGTTTCAGTTATTTTAGTAATTTATTTCAAAATGCTTGTCAGCAAGTATGTCTAACAATACACAGAAAGGAGGAGTCATCCGGTGGCACCTTAAAGACTAACAGATTTATTTGGGCATAAGCTTTTGTGGGTAAAAAAACCCACTTCTTCAGATGCATGGAGTGGAAATTACAAATACAAGCATAAATATATATTGGCATATGAGGAGAAGGGAGTTACCTTACAAGTGGAGAACCAATGCTGAAGGCCAATTTAGTCAGGGTGGATGTTGTCCACTCCCAATAATTGATGAGGAGGTGTCAGTACCAAGAGAGGGAAAATTGCTTTTGTAGTGAGCCAGCCACTTCCAGTCCCTATTCAAGCCCAAATTGATGGTGTTAAGTTTGCAAATGAATTGTAGCTCAGCAGGTTTCAGAGGAACAGCCGTGTTAGTCTGTATTCGCAAAAAGAAAAGGAGTACTTGTGGCACCTTAGAGACTAACCAATTTATTTGAGCATGAGCTTTCGTGAGCCACAGCTCACTTCATCAGATGTTTACCGTGGAAACTGCAGCAGACTTTATATACACACACAAATCATGAAACAATACCTCCTCCCACCCCACTGTCCTGCTGGTAATAGCTTATCTAAAGTGATCAACAGGTGGGCCATTTCCAGCACAAATCCAGGTTTTCTCACCCTCCACCCCCCCACACAAATTCACTCTCCTGCTGGTGCTAGCCCATCCAAAGTGACAACTCTTTACATAATCAAGTCGGGCTATTTCCTGCATAGATCAAGGTTTCTCACATCCCCCCCACCCCCATACACACACAAACTCACTCTCCTGCTGGTAATAGCTCATCTAAACTGACCACTCTCCAGGTTTAAATCCAAGTTAAACCAGAACATCTGGGGGGAGGGGGGATGTAGGAAAAAACAAGAGGAAACAGGCTACCTTGCATAATGACTTAGCCACTCCCAGTCTCTATTTAAGCCTAAATTAATAGTATCCAATTTGCAAATGAATTCCAATTCAGCAGTTTCTCTTTGAAGTCTGTTTTTGAAGTTTTTTTGTTGAAGAATGGCTACTTTTAAATCTGTTGTTGAGTGTCCAGGGAGACTGAAGTGTTCTTCTACTGGCTTTTGTATGTTACCATTCCTGAGATCTGATTTGTGTCCATTTACTCTTTTACATAGAGACTGTCCGGTTTGGCCAATGTACATGGCAGAGGGGCATTGCTGGCACATGATGGCATATATCACATTAGTAGATGTGCAGGTGAATGAGCTTCTGATGGCGTGGCTGGGTCCTATAATGGTGTCACTAGAGTAGATATGGGGATAGAGAAGGCAACGCAGGGATTGGTTCCTAGGTTAGTGTTTCTGTGGTGTGGTGTGTAGTTGCTGGTGAGTATTTGCTTCAGGTTGGGGGGCTGTCTGTAAGTGAGGATTGGTCTGCCTCCCAAGGCCTGTGAGAGTGACGGATCGTTTGCAAACTTATCACCATCAATTTGGGCTTGAATAGGGACTGGGAGTGGCTGGCTCACTACAAAAGCCATTTTTCCTCTCTAGGTACTGACACCTCCTCATCAATTATTGGGAGTGGACAACTTCCACCCTGACTAAATTGGCCTTCAACATTGGTTCTCCACTTGTAAAGTAACTCCCTTCTCTTCATATGCCAATATATGTTTATGCCTGTATTTGTAATTTCCACTCCATACATCGGAAGAAGTGGGTTTTTTTACCCACGAAAGCTTATGCCCAAATAAATCTGTTAGTCTTTAAGGTGCCACCGGACTCCTCATTGTTTTTGTGGTTACAGACAAACATGGCTACCCCTCTGTATTCTAACAGTACAGACGACAAAGATGCAGGAAATGTTTTTGATGGGTTAAATAAGCTGTTAATGCTCTAGGAAGACATCTGGAGTCGTGGATAGTTTTCTGAAAACATCTGCTTGATATGCAGCAGCAGTCAAAAAAGCTAACAATGTTAGGAACCATTAGGAGAGGGATAGATAGTAAATATCATAATGCCACAGTATAAATCCATGGTGCCTTGAATATTGCATGCAATTCTGGTCACCCTAGCTCAAAAAAGATAATTAGAAATGGAAAAGGTCCAAACGACAAATTTGATTAGGGGTATGAAACAGCTTTCATATGAAGAGAGATTAAAAAGACAGACTGTACAGCTTGAAAAAGAGAAATTCCTGGGGGAATTCTGCGCACTGCGCATGTACAGAATTCATGTTCCCTGCAGATTTCTTTGCTTCCCCACAGAAAAATGACTTCTGATGGAGAAACAAAGGGAAATCCACAAGAGCGGTCATGTGCCCTTCCCTGGCAGCGCAGGCAGATTGGTTCGGGCGCCTGGAGCAGCTGGTAGAAACGTAAATCACCACTGGGATGGGGTCGGGAGGCTGAGCAGTCATGCATGTAAGAGGGAGAGAGACACTCTGTCCCTCTTGCTTGCTATTGCGGCACGTTCGGTGTGGAGAGGCAGGGCTCTAGGGTGTTTCTGAGGAGGTAGGCATGAGGCAGAGCAGAATGTAGCAGCTGGCCTGCTTAGTGAATTGTTCCCATTGTCTTTGTGAATTCCCCCAGGAGTATAAAACAGGTGTAAAAGTTTTAAGGCTCCTTTACATTGCCAGAGTGGTGTAAAGGACAGTATGGCCTTATAAATTCTTAAGGTGCTTTAGTGACTAGAACTGGTCTAAATTTTTTGGATTGAAAAAAAAATTCCTATCAAAATGTGCTCCATTGCCTGTTTGGTACTTACCTTCTTGGAAATGGTCAGTAACCAATATAAATTGTGAATTTGAGTCCCCAGCCCTCACTTGCTCTTCAGTTGCCTATGATGTAACACTGACCATATGGCTGCATATATTTGTTGACTAATAACTAGAAATAAAGGGTCAAACCTAGCTACATTATTATTTGACAAAGGGGGTTTGGGGATTTCTTCCAGTGTTCTGCACTCCCATTCTCCATCCATTGTATTGTAGTTTAAATAAATTACCAAAATAATTGAAACTGGCATGATTTTATTGCATTATTTTGACAAATAAAATGTGCAGAATTTTGTAGAACTTTAAAATATTGTGTGCAGAATTTTTAATACTTTGGCACAGTATTCCTCCAGGAGTAAAGAGACAACTAAGGGGGGAATATGATAAAGGTCTATACAATCATAAATGGTTTGGAGAAAGTGAGTAAGGAAGTGTTAAATGCCCCTTCACCTAAGAAGCTGGGTCACCCTATGAAATTAGCAGATAGCAGGTTTAAAACAAAAGGAATTACTTCTTGACACACTGCACAGTCAACCTGTGCTACTTGTTGCCAGGGGATGTTGTGAAGGCCATAACTAAATTTTAGAAAAGAGCTAGATAAGTTCATGGAGCATAGGTCCATTAGTGGCTATTAGCCAAGATGGCCAAGGATGCACCCATTTTGAGGGTGTCCCTAAGACTTTGATGTTGGGACTGGATGACAGAGAATGGATCGTTGATAATTGCCCTGTTCTGTTAATTTCCTTGAAGCATCTGACATTGGCCACTGTTGGAAGACAGAATGCTGGGCTAGATGGACCATTGGTCTGACTCAGTTTAGCCATTCTTATGCTCTATTTTCTATAGGTTTTTATTCTGAACACATTGCCGTAGTATCTGATGATACTCTCATTCCACACACATCTGTGCAGTAGTAGACAGCTGCAAAGTTTAAGGGTCCAAGCACTGAATGGAAGAAGGTTATTTGTTCTTAAAAACCCTGTTTGTTGGATTTTTCTCTCTGCTTTATAGAAATGTTACGCACTCTGTCTCACAATGCAGCTCTGGGCATGTTTTGAAATGGGATACTCAGAGCTGACCATTTTTGTTGACTCTTTCAGGGAGACTTGGGCTGGATGACCAGAGGTTCTATGGTGGGACCTTTCCAGGAAGCAGCATTTGCCTTGGCAGTCAGCAGTATGGACAAGCCAGTGTACACAGACCCTCCTGTCAAAACGAAGTTTGGATACCACATAATTATGGTTGAAGGGAGAAAATAAAATATAAAAAAAAAAAGTGACGCTGACACTTACAGTTCTATACAGTGAATAGGAACTTCCCAGCAGATTTGTTGTGGGAGTTGTTAGGGTTGGGGATATGTAGGACTCAGGAATCTGGACTAGTTTTGTAAATGGTTTGCACTAACAGGTGCCATAAATACCCAAGTATAAATCAGCTTAAGAGACTTGTGTTAAACATCCTTTGGGTGAAGTGTCTGCGAGCCAGTGTTGCTATGATCACTAATTAGCCAGCCAGAGTGAGGCCCTACATTCAGTTTAATGGCATTTGTCTGTAAGGTGATAACTTTTGAAAACCACATCTGATCAATTCCAAAACGTCAGGGGATGTTCCAAGCATTAATAAGCAAAATCCTATTGATCTGGGTAAAAACCAGAAAAGCCTGATTTCAAGTCAAGGCCCCAGAGTGTCCATTTGGTACTGCAGGCAGAGGAAGCTCTCTGGCACCCTCTGCTGTTGCCCACATACATCACAAGCAGCAGTCACTAGACTCTAGTGACTAGAGCATCACACACTTAATTACTTATGTAGGTAGAGCTGTATACCCTTTCTCCAAACTCCCACCAATCCCCCTCAGACCCTCCAGAGTGCACACTCCCCAGACCTGCATTGAACTTAGAGCTCAGCCTCCAGGAGCAATTAAATGTGCAACCCTCTTACAAACCCATATTTGTAATCTGTTTCCTATCTCTTGAATCTGATGTATAGAGTACTTTGTTAGTGCGTTGGCTGTTGCTTTAGCAACATGCAAATGAGAAGCCAGCCATGTATATGTTGGTGCTGGGAATAGAAGCATATTTAAAGTTGTCACTTTGGCCATACTTTCAGACAGGCTTTGTGCATTATTGGAGGCAAGAGCTTAGGTGCAGGAGCTGTGAAAGGAGGGAAGACTGCCTTTCCAAAGGTTACATGTAGTAAAATGTTAGACCCAGGCAGTCTGTTTTCCCTAATCTGGGTTTCTCAGGGGGAATTGAAATCTGGCCTCCCCTGAATTCAACCCTCAAAGATTCCACCACCAGCACTGTTCTTAAGAATAGAATGAGTCAGCACCTTTTGCATTCAGTATGACCTATTCCAGATGGGAAGTCATCTCAAGGCCCCACCTCACCACTGCTTGGTTTACAAAATATTTCACTCGGTTACTCAAGCTAGGAGGCCTAGTTGTGTACATGCCTAAGAGTCCTTGCTATTCACATCAATAACATTGTGAAGTAGTATGGCCACAATGCTTCTCACTAAGGTCATTCTCAGTGAGACAAGTGGTTCAGAAATGAGTAACACAAATTAACATAAAAACCATACAACTCTAGTTAACCAAGCTTAACTGAACATGGTGCTGAAACACTGCAAAGCAGGCCAGCTCAGTTGTGAGTAGCCTCTGCAGTGACAGGACCCCTTTGCATCTAGTTTGGCCTTTGAACTAGTTCTAATAGGGCAGATAGTAGTTGTTGATTGAAAGGTACTCCAAGAGATTTTTCAGCTGTTGAAGAACCATCTACAGCAGGGGTGGGCAAACTTTTTGGCCAGAGGGCCACAGTGGGGTTGCAAAACTGTACAGAGGGTCGGGTAGGGAAGGCTGTGCCTCCCCAAACAGCCTGGCTCTGCTCACTATCTGACCCCTCCCACTTCCCACTCCCTGACTGCCCCCCTCAGAACCCCCCACCCATCCAACCCCCCTGCTCCTTGTCCCTTGACCGCCCTCTCCCAGGACTCCACCCCCTGCTCCCTGACTGTCCCAATCCCTATCCACACCTCTGCCCCCTGGGACTCCCATGCCTTTCTAACTGCCCCCTGTTCCCTGTCTCCTGACGGCCCCCCAGAACCTCCACCCCATCCAACTGCCCTCTGACAGGCCCCCCAGGACTCCCACACCTATCCAACTGCTCCCTGTCTGCCCCCTGGCTCCAGCCCCTTTACAATGCCGCTCAGAGCAGCGTGTATGGCAGCTGCACTGCCCGGAGCCAGACACGCTGCTGCACTGCCCTGCAGGAGCATGCAGCCCTGCCACCCAGAGCGCTGCCTGTGTGGCTGGGGGGGGGAAAGGGGACAGCAGGGGAGGGTCCAGGGGTAGCCTCCCCAGCCGGGAGCTCAAGGGCCGGGCAGGATGGTCCTGTGGGCCCAATGTGGCCTGCAGGCTATAGTATGCTCACCTCTGATCTACAGCTAACTGTTCTGCAATGGACCTGGGGGACACCTTCTGCTGAAGGAATGGTGACAAGACAGCGATGCATTATCAGTGACTAGAGCAAAGCCACTGAAGAATGGGAAGGACAGAGGGTGGGTAGAGATGACAGTTTTCGCAACTGGAGTAGGGGTGTGATGGAAGCACATCAGATGCCCATGGGAGGGTTTGGCAATTGGGGGCAGAGAAGTTTGGTTACTGTACTTCTGACACATGGTGGTTCTGACTCTTGTGTTCCACTGCCACAATGAACCTTCTCCATAACACAATAAGGGAGAGTGACCCTTTGCAATGTGGGACATGATTTTCCTCACACTGGCATCTCTGCATTGCCCTGGATGTCCCTTCTTCACTCCTTCCTTGTGCAAAAGGAAAGAAACCAAGTACAGTTGGGCAGAGATGGCCTTGAGTGGTAGGAAAGTACCAGAGTGGAGCAGTGCAATTCATTGCTGTCAGGGCACAGTGGCTCTGCTTGGTGCTTAGATGGCACAGTAGTAGTAATCTTGGATTGCATGGAATAGACAGCCATCTCAAGCCAGAAGGGCATAGATGAGTGAGAAGTAGCTAGCACCTGCCCCCACAACCACATGCCAGATTTTGATCTCCAACCCACACCTGTAATTTCCACTGAAAGTGCAGGAATTGTCCACATGTTCCAGGGCAGAATTTGGGCCACATTATTTAATATGGGAGATGGGTTAGATAAGCACACAGGTACTATGATACTAAGTGTGCAGCTAGCTGGCTCTACCACTGACTTGTGTAGTTAGGACAAGCTATTTGTGCACCTCTAAGAACCAGGATGGTTATACTTACCACAGACATGCAGGAAGCAGGGTTGTACAGCAGTGGTTCTCCACGAGGGGTACACATACCCCTAGAGCAGGGGTCGGTAACCTTTCAGAAGTGATGTGCCAAGTCTTCATTTATTCACTTTAATTTAAGGTTTCGCGTGCCAGTAATACATTTTAACATTTTTTCGAAGTCCTCTATAAGTCTATATATTATATAACTAAACTATTGTCATATGTAAAGTAAACAAGGTTTTCAAAATGTTTAGGAAGCTTCATTTAAAATTAAATTAAAATGCTGATCTTATGCCGCCGGCCCGCTCAGCCTGCTGCCGGCCTGGGGTTCCGTTCACCCAGGCTGGCAGCAGACAGAGTGGGGCCTGTGGCCGGCACCCCCGCTGGCAAGGGGCTGGCAGCCAGAACCCCAGACTGACAGCAGGCTGAGGGGGGCCAGCAGCCGGGACCCCAGACCAGCAGTGGGCTGAGCAGCTCAGCCCACTGCCACTCAGCCCGCCGCCGGTCTGGGATCCCAGCCCTGCCTACATAGAGTGGGTATCTACCTTCTCCCTGGTTCTAGCCCATTCTCTTCCTCTCTCTCTGCACTGAGCAGAGGGTGGGAGTGCACTGAGCACAGGGCTGGGGGTGAAGGAGCAGGCTGGGGGTTGGGATGTAGGACCTGGCCAAGACCTAGAATGAGGGAGGAGGCTCAGGGTTGGGGCAGGAGGTTTGGGTGTGGAGTGCTTACCTGGGCAGCTCCCATTTGGTGCAAGAGCTCGTTTGGTGCTCAGGGTGGGGGTTGGAATGTGGGGGGTGCAAGAGTCAGGGCATGGAGTGTGGAGGGTGCAGGAGTCAGGGCAGAGAGCTGGGGGCATGTGAGGGGGTGCAGGAGTTAGGGCATGGGGGGGCTGGCTATGTGTGTGGGGTGCTGGAGTCAGGGCTGGGGTCGTGGGAGGTGCAGGGGTCAGGGCAGGGGGCATGGGCTAGGGGCATGGGGGTGATCCCAGCCCCCTGCCCAGAGCAGCTCACAGCAGGGGGCTGGAGGGGATATGCCCTGATTCCACTCCCCTTCCCCAAAGCCCCGTCCCTACCTCTTCTCTGCCTCCTCCCTGAAGCAGGGAGTGCTTGGCTCCGCTTCTCCCCCTCCTTCGCAAGGGCCATCAGCTGACCAAGGGCAGGGAGGGAGAGAAGGAGGGGCAAGAACCCAGCATACTAGGGGAAGAGGCGGGGGAGGGGGGACCTTGCCTGCCCTGCAGCAGTAGCCCGCAGAACCAAGCTTCTTCACCCTGTCCCCATGGGGTCGTGGGGTGGGGGTGGGGGAGAAGAGTGGGCCGGAGCGGGCAGAATTTTTAATGGCACGCTGCTGCCTGCCGGGGTCCTGGCCACCGGCCCCCCTCAGCACACTGCTGGCCTGAGTTTGGCAGCAGGCTGAGCGGGGCCAGCACCGGGGACACAGCAGGCAGCAGCGTGCCATTAAAAAAATCAGCTCATGTGCTGTCTTTGGCAAGCGTGCCATAGGTTACTGACCCCTGCCCTAGCGGTACACAGTTCTTCCAGGGGGTACATCAATTCATATAGATATTTGCCTAGTTTTATAACAGGCTACATAAGAAGCACTAGCGAAATCAGTACAAAGAAATTTCATATAGACAATGACTTGTTTATACTGCTCTACATACTATACACTGAAATGTAAGTCCAATATCTATATTCCAATTACTTTGTTTTATAATTATATGGTGGAAATGAGAAAGTAAGCAATTTTTAAGTAACACCGTGCTGTGACACTTCTGTCTTTTTAGGTCTGATTTTGTAAGCAAGTAGTTTTTAAGTGAGGTGAAACTTGAGGTATGCAAGACAAATCAGACTCCTGAAAGGTGTACAGTAGTCTGGAAAGGTTGAGAGCCACTGCTGTACAGCACTTCTCTTAGGAAACGAGGACATCCAGAACCCAGCTAAATTTCCTTGTCAATACTCCAGAGTCAGAAACTGGGTCAGACTGGAAATAAGGTGTAATTTTTAGCCATTTGGAACAATTTACCAAGGGTCATGGATTCGCCATCACTGACAATATTTAAATCAACATTGGATGTTTTTCTAGAAGATCTGCTCTAGGAATTGGTTTGGGGAAGGTCTATGGCTTGTGTTATACAGGAGATCAGAGCAGATCGTAATGGTCCCTGCTGGCCTTGGAATCTATGAAACTGGCAACCAAACTTAGGACATCTTTGTGCCTAGTTTTCAGAGACTGATCATCAAGATGCATGGCTACTCACTATCTCTGGCAAAAGTCACAGACCTATTGTCTCACAGCACAAGACAACTACAAATGCAGTCCACACAAGTGAAATTTAAGTTAACTCCTGCTTGGATGTTGGGCTGGTCTGTCTAAGCAAAGGATGAAAACTGGGCTATGGCCCATGCCCCTATAAATGTGTTAGTCTCTAAGATGCCACAAGGACTCCTTGTTTTTATTCCATAAACAAGTGAATGACTCTTTAGTAACTACGCTCAGACAGATGCCCCCCTTAATGTGGTATGGAGAGAAGGCACATCTGATCTTCCAAACAGACTGCAAGGGGGCACAGCAGCCAGGAGGCTTGTCCTCATTTGAGCCTCTTGTGGGAGGGGACATGCAGATTGTTGCCTAGTCCCACATTTAAGTTCATGTCAGAGCATGAGCCTAACCCTGGAAAGAGATGTAGCTCAATTACAACAAACGTGTATTTTGGCTACAAGGATTTAGGAAAAGAGCTCTTGTCCCACATCCCCCCTCCGCAACAGCTAGAGGGGTAGCCATAGGACAAGGCAGCATCTACCAAGACAGTGTACCAGCCTGCGCCCACCACCAGATGCTCCCAATGTGGCAGTGCTTTGCTCTCTCCTATCTTCCCAGGAAAGGCAACTTAAATCCACAGCAGTAGCTGGATGGGTTGAAGCTACTCCTGACTGTTCTGCAGGTGTCTGTGCCAAGATGAAAATCCCCCCATGGGAAGTTTGGGGCAGATACACAGCACTCCTAACATAGTTAATGAGGCATAACATCAGGGACACAAGTGAGTAGCAATGGGTACCATAGAACCCTTGTACTAGCCCAGTTCAGGGGCTCAGCAGTAACAGTAGTTTCCCAGCATTAAATCAGATGCCTCAATGACCGACATAGGCTGCAACTGTGAAGCCTAACAGTTTTCCATGCTTTAGTAATCAAGCCTCCCTCTTCACTTGGTCTACGGAGGGACAAAATGTATTGACCAAACTTGAAGGGAAAAGTATAAAACACAGAGGCAAGTTAGTATACTGCAAGTAAGACAGACATGGAGTATAGAAAGTAATTGTTTCTCTTTTTTTAAACTTTAAACATTTTTCTAAACATACAATTAGTGACTTTTTGCCTTTGTGAACTGCATGCAAAATAAATACCCTTCTCTCCAGCACCCAAGTGGAAGTTACAAACTGCTCTTGAAACAATACCTTGCTCAGAGATGCAATTGTAAAATTTGCTCTATCCTCTTTAAAAAAATTGAGTATGTTTACCTCCCAAGTCTCTTTTGTAGTTTTAGTCTCACCTCACTGTAGCTTCTGTCAGTGCCAGCCTTTTAAAAAAGTCAAATCTTGTCCATTATCCAAGTCAATTCGGTAGCTTAGATAAAAGGTGGTTTTTTTGGGTCCTTCCCCTCAGAAAAAGTGAGATTGGGTTTGCGATTGTTCTTTTGGGAATTGACTTGTAACCAAGTCCTCACCTCTGCGATAGTTGTTTATACAAATTTAAAGTTATAAGCATAACTTCAGGATCTCCATTTTTTATGTCAAGAGCTTGCAGGAAACAGTTCAATGCATCCTGTAGTTTTCCATTGTCTTTCAGTTTCTTCCCACACTCTATCAGGGCATCATAATTATCTGGTGCATGAAGAGAATCTACAATAGTCGGATTATCTTTCTGGCCTGCACTCTCCTTTGAAAAGCAGTCCATTTGCTCACCAGATAGCAGCTCAGGATCACCAGTCGATTCCTCTTGAGGCTCTTCCTCAATATCATCTGCCTCAGATATGACAGATTCTGTATCATCTAAATAACTGGTTGTACCTTCTGTATCAAGTGTTTCTCCAATAGGTTCTTCCTCAGGCTCCACACTATGCTCTTCAGCTTCTTCTACCACAAGTTCTTCTTGTACCTCATCACTATCCTCTGTTTGGCTGAGAGCTCCTATGGTTTCTTCAATATCCTCAACCTCGTCCAACACTGCAATAATAAGAGATCTTCTAGAAGCTGTAGACTTGTTTCCTCTTGGGGAAAAAATGGGGTTTACTATAGATTTATCACATTTAGGAGTAGATGAACTAATCCCCATCAGAGATGGACATAGAGGGCTGTTTAAGGGAGAGGACATTTTTTCAGGCGGATTTTCATCCAAAATCATGACTGAATTATCTTCATCTTCACTATCAGAAACAATTCTTCTCGCCCGCTTCTTTTTGCCAATAGGCATGTCATCACCACTTTCCATCAAGGCTTCACTCACTGGTATAGAGTCATTTAGGTTATCCATGGCTACGTTACAGGAATTCCCAAAGTTGTCATCATCTTCTCTTACCCAAGAATTCATTGCAGAACTACCATGGTTTCCTACTTGGAGATGAAAGCCTGTGTTTTCTGTGTACTCCAGTAATTTTTCCCTTTTTGAGATGTCTTGCTGTCCATCTTCAGAGTCTTCCAAAACAAGATTGAAGTCAGCCTGATACTGAGAAGATGCGACAGATGTAGCCTCCAAACTGGCTTCACTCACATGAGACTTCTGGAGTCCACTAGGGAATTCTGACATGACATTCAATAGACTTTTGGATGCTCCTGGAGAAGCTAGCTCAGGATTTTCATTCCCATCATCTTCTGGGTCATAAAGATCATGAGTTTGAAGTGACATTTCTGCATTTCTATATCTTTTAGGATCATCGGCAAAGACAGATCCATTAAACGAAGGCTGTGAAAACAGCGAAGAGGTAATTTGGATATCGTTTATGCTTTGTGAGCGATGAGAGTGTCTTCTTGATTCAGGACTATGACTCTCTTTGTTAACAAATGAGTAAACTCCAAGGGAAGAAGGTATAAAATTTGGATCAAGTTTTTGTTCAGGTTCATGTATATTGGATTGTTTCAATACCTTACTGCTAGTATGCAATTCATTAACATCCATATTAGACACATCCTGTGCAGACTTCTCTTCCTCTGAATCCACAATAAGCAAACTTGTCATTCTAGCACTGACATTAGCAACATCTTCATCCTCTGTAAGATCAACAGCTTCATCATTTGCAGGTTCAACTAATACAGGTGGTGAAATAAAGTGATTTGTGTTAAACTCTGGTGATTTATTTTTTGGTTGTGAAGACGATACTGTTGGTCTCAGCCATGCTCCCTCAGTATCACTTTTGATTCTCCCCATCAATTGGTCTTTGAGCTGAGATTCTAACTGGACCAGCTCTTGGGCCTTCTGTACCCTTTGTTGAATATACTGATGAGCGTCTTCATTTTCAGCCTGTTCTTCTTGAGCTATTTCTCGTGTATACATTAAGTCATGATCCGAAATGCCAAACATTTCCAGCGAGTGCAGATAAGCAATATGTTCATCCAGCTCTAAGTCAGTCTTTCTTTGGGTGGCATGCAAGGACTGCAGCTGAATCTGCGTTGCAGAGGTTCGAGTGTCTCCCAACGTAAAGAGCTCCCTTAATTCCTGTTTAGTGAAATACCTAAATGGGTTCTTTTTGTCACCAGTAGTTTGTCTTATTAATGAATCCTTGAAGACTTGTCGCCTATATATTTTTTCTTCTACTGTACCACAGGTAATCAGCCTATAAATTACTACATTTTCTTTTTGTCCAATCCTATAAGCTCTGTCCACAGCTTGGGCATCAGTAGCTGGATTCCAGCTGGGATCAAAGATCACCACTCTGCTAGCTGCCGTTAAGGTTATGCCAACACCACCTACTTGTGTAGTAAGCAAGAAGACAGAGTAATCCTTATTACTCTGAAACACACCAATCCTCCTTTCTCGTTCCACTAAGTGTGTCACTGTTCCATCAATACGCATGGTCCTAAAATGTCTGTGAGTTAAAATGCGCTCCAAGATATCCAGCATTTTTCTTGATTGAGAAAATACCAAAGTTCTATGCCCCTCCTCTTGCAGCCTTTCTAGAAGTCCCATGAGGAACATCAATTTTCCAGACTCTTGAATCAGAATCTCATCAGAGAGATGATCAATTTTGTTAGTTCCTGAAAATGCACCCCCTTCATTCTCATCATCCTGCTCAGGGTAACCACCTCCTTCCAAGCCAAGCTGGCTACATGCTCGTGCTGACAACAACCTGGGGTGATCACATAGTTTCTTTAAGACATTCAGCTCAGCCAAAGGCGACCGTGTTGTCATTAACACCTCCTTCACATGATCCAAAGAGAGAAAGTTCCTGTATATTTCTTCTTGAACTGGTGCTAAATACACCCACACAATGAAGTCATTTTTCCTGGTAAGAGAGGGCATTACAGGAGCAATGTTCTTACTCTGATCTTCAGGAAGATGGGTTTTAACTTTGTCAGAATTGTACTTCTTTTGTATGTCTTCTTTAGTTCTTCGGAGAAAGTATGGCTTTATAATGGTCATTAGATTTTCAGAGATCTTAAGTCCAAGTGCTTTCTCTCCTGGAGTCGCATCTTTCTCCCTTGCCCTTGTAATAGGATTCTCATATTCCATTTTAAAGGTCTTCGCTGTTCCTAGGAGGGACCCCTGACATGCAAAGTCAAACAAGGACCACATCTCACGCAGATTATTTTGGACTGGTGTCCCTGTGAGGAGGATGCGATTTTTTGCAGGAATAGCATATACAGATTTAGTGGTTTTAGCAGATGGGGACTTAATTTTATGGGCTTCATCAAGAATAATATAGTCCCAGACAAATTCTCGTCCACTAAGGCTAGAAAGCTGTTGCCAGTTATTGATCAGCATTTGATATGTTGTGATCACTATGCCATTCTTTCTTTGGATTCTCTCTAGTTTTCTGTTACGCTCAGTCTTGCTGGTGCCATGAAAGTCTTTCACCCTCAGTCCTGGAGTCCACTTAGTAAACTCTCTCATCCAGTTGCTAACAAGGGTGGTTGGCATGACTAGCAGTACAAACTGTATGAGTTCAGCATCAAACATCCCAGAAAGGAGTGCAATGATCTGGATAGTCTTTCCCAAACCCATGTCATCTGCCAATATACCTCCTTGCCTTCCATCACGGTAGAGACTGTATAGGAAGGCCACGCCTTCTCTCTGATACTCAAAGAGTTTGTTGTGCATCTCTCCATAGATCATTAGACCACTGTTACATACATCCACGAATCCCTCCTCTTCCTCTGTGGCAAGTGCCAGCTCTGCAAGTGTTTCCTCAAGCCTTTTGATTCTGCTTCTCAGCTTTTCACTGGGATGAATTTCATTTGCAAGGTTGAAGAGTTTAAGAGACTCTTCCAGATTTCCATTCCTGGCCTCTTCTTTTGCCTGAGTCACATACCTGTAGAACACAAAACAAAGGAGCAGTGTTTGCAGGAGTCAAACAATTAACACAAACATGCATAAGTCCATTTGTTTTAACATAATTAAGTCTGATGTTTGTATAGCTATTTGAATATATTAACTGCCCAAGAACTTCATTATAGCAGAACAGCTACTCTGCCATAGTTAAGGTGAAGACCAGCTTTCTGTTTAAAAGCTTGACTGTTTAAGTGCTCTAAACTCCACACAGTTAATTGGATTGCCTTGAAATTTAGTGTTCCTCTTGGGGGGCACAGGATACAATCAATTATCCAAATTTGGGGGCATTTGACCCAGAGATTGCTAAGGAAAAACCAAAACCAAAAACAAAACAGCTTTTCTTAAAGTTGACACAGTCTGTCAACTTTTTTTGCCCACAGATAGAGATCAAAACCAGGGCTCAGATCACCACACCAGGGTCAAAAACACTTGAGGGTACCCCAACAGAGCACATGGCACCCAACAGCCTGGGGGTGGTGGTCAAACAAAACGTTATTTGAAAAAGTTTGCGCCTCCACTCTTGCACACTACAGCTCCCATGCCCATTTACACACCTACAGAATTAGTGAACATGTGCAAAGAGGAAATCCATTTCCATATCACAGGACCTGGTTGTCTGTGAGGATATGTTGTAGTTATCAAATCTGTGCACCACCCCACACACTGTTCTTCAAATCCAACCCAGAGTAATATCTGAAGTGAAAAAAAGCAGGCATACTGCTCTAGTCTGCCTCCATCAAAGGGCGATTTCTATTTTGTGGAAATGTAATCTAAGTACAGCAGAATACTCCCAAATGGTCACTGGGAGGGGACGGTGATTAGGGATGCACGAGTATGTGGGAAGAGGGGTTTGGGTCTGTAGTGAGCAATGGGAGTATTATGGCAGGTAGATAAATGGGAATGGGTGGGAGAGGAGGGAAGAGGAGTTGGGGGGCTCAGGTGAAGGACTGGGGAAGTAGGAGGGGAGAAGACAGGAGAGGTTGGGGAATATGTGGTGTAGCAGAGGAAGTTGGGGGTTTAGGGGTGGGGCTGTCACCTTTGAAGTTGCCCCTTCCTTGTGTGCTGGGATTAGGGGAGCCCTACCCTGCTGCAGGGGGACGGGGAGCCCTACTTGTTATATGTAGGGAAGTCTGGGGAACCCTGCTCCCCCTGGGATGTCTGAATCCCTCTCCCTGCCCCTCCATATGAGCTGGGGTGCAGGGAATGAAGGTAACAAATGGCTGGAGAAGCCTGGCTGAAGCAGGTGCAGGAGTCCCAGCTGAGGGTGGGGAGAGGGAGTGAGGGGCCCAGCCCAGTGTGCAGTTTAGGCTACATAACCAGGTAGTGTGAGGCCCTCCAGTAATAGTCTGTGACAGACATGTATGCGCAGCAGCACAGAATAAGGAGGCAGCAAGAAGCACCTTCAGACATGTCACTGGTTTCTGCAGGGCCAGCTCATGGCTCAGGACGGGAAGGAGGAAGTGTTGGAGGGAAGCGGCGGGGAGAAGGTGCCACACCAGCCGGCCACAAAGCAGTCAGGGTTTGGGACATAGAAATCCCACCCCTGCTCTGTGAGCAATCACAGACCAGCCCCGCCTCCCAGCGGAAGGAGCACTGGCCCGGGACCATGCCAGGTTCTGCGGCTGGGTGGCCTCCGGCAAGTAGCCGCTCCGTGCCTCAGTTTCCCCTCCGTACGACAGGAGATGGCAGTAGAGCTCCGTGAGCCCCACTGCGGACCGGCGGGGCTGTCGGCTCTCCCGCGCACAGCGGCCGATCAGCGGCGAACCCAGCCGGGCCCCAGCCCTGTCCCTGCTCACACGCGAGGGAGCGAAGGCACACGCCAGACTGAGGCGGAGCGAGGGAAACGGGCCGCTCCCAGCGCCTGAGGGCAGACGCAGTGCCCCGGCCCGGGCAGCCCGCGGCGCTGACGCCAGCCCAGCCTGCCGGCAACCCCGGCCTCACCTCTCGTAGAGCCCCGCCGGGCCGGGCCCCGCCATGGCGCGCTGCTGAAGGGAGACGGAGAGTCGCCCGCCGCCGCGCGACCATTCAAAATGCCCGCCGCCTTCCCGACCTGCCCCGGGCGGGGCCGCCCCGCCAGCCTATCACCCGCGGCATGCAAATGAGAGCCGGAAACATCAGCCAATTGGCGCTTCTCGGCCGCCGCAAAGGGAAGAGCCACGGTGAGGCCTGGCAAGGGGGCGGGAGGAAAAGCGCGGGGGCAGAGGAGGCGCGGGGCTGTGTGGACCGCGATTGGTATTTTCTGTGGGTCAGTGGTTCCCCCACCCCAGTCCGAAGGTTTTCAGGCGGGGGAAACTTGGCTGCTGGTGGGGGTGGAGCACCTGCTAATTTTTCCTCATGGATGCTGCAGCCCCGCGGCACCCACGGAGTCACCGCCTATGCCACCGAGGCGTCTTCCTGTTTGCTGGGTTGTTTAGTTCCAGGGGTATACACAACGTAAATGTTTGCTACTACCTTATAACCGGATGCAGATAAGTAAAACCAATGCAAGTAACGTCCCGTTTGTTTTCATGACGTTTCAAGTACAATCTTATACATTTAACAATCACTTTGACCTATATTAATACACAAGTGAGGTGTCCTGGGGCTTTGGCCTGAGCTGGCACCTGGTCTGCCAGTGTCTCACCTTCCTGCTGCGGGCAGGTACGGAGTACCTCTAGCTCAGTTAGGAGTGACCTTCCGGACATTGTGGAGAGTCAGCCCTGAGCCCCTTGTCCAGTGCAGAGAAAGAAACACAGACCACATTCCTCAAAGGAGCCAAGCCACTCTAGGAGGAAAAGTCCCTTGTATTGTCCATCAGGAAACAAGCAGGAGCACAAGGCAAAGCATCCCCTGTGAAGAGACACTGCCCAGAACCCTAGTCAAGGGTTATCGACCCTGGTACTGGTGCCTGGGCTATTAAGGCTGACCCCTTCAATGATACAGCAGCAGCAGCAGGGAAATCTCTCCTTACCAGGCAGTGGCATTGGAACAATTTGTATAGTGGGGGTGCTGAAAGGTATTAAACAAACCTGTAAGCCCAGGATATCAGGAAAACCTCTTCAAGCTGGGGGTGCTACTGCACCCCTAGTTCCAGGGCCCCTGGTACCAAGAAACACCTGAGGCCTATGCAGCAGCATAGCATCTGCTCTGTCTCTTGATGCTGGATTCTCCAGTCGTGCAGGAGACAAACTGACTGGGATTGCTTGATCCTCGGGCTTCTGTGACCCCAGGAACCCCTCAATGACAACTAGCAGAGGGTTCCCCATACTGTAACTCACTTCAAACCTGATAACATTTGTTGGATCATATTAAAGAAGTTCTGTATTAAAATCACAAATGAGTTTGATTCCCCATAGTTTAAATTCCAGGGTATTACTAGTTAAGAGATCTCTTGGGTTTTGGTACTGTTTCTCTCCCTCTCTGTGTGAAACTTGCAAGCTGTTAATTGTGTTAGTACATTCTAAGACAGAGTCTGTTCTCAAACCAATTCTTTGTAGCTACTCACACAGAGAGAGACTCAAAGCAATACTCTGTAACAACAGAAACAGCACCCAGAGACTTCCCTCCCTTTTGTTGTATTCATCTCGCTTTGTTAACAATTGTGATTAAAATAGAGATAGAGGATGTATGTGGATGGATGCTTGGTGTGGATAATAACTGAATGATCAGGGAGGTGCCAGCCTAAGAATCCAGTGTCCATCGGCTCAAGAAGGCGTCAAGTGGAAACAACCAGAGGACCCCCGGAGGGCAGACTGGAATCCACCCAACAGCCTCAAGGTTGGGAGAACCAAAGAACAAGATAACATCTGGCAGCACGGAGCCGTCAGGAATGTGCCATCTGCTGATTGATTCAGCAACAGCATGATGAAGCAATTCCCATAGACTGGCATACGAAGAAATTCCTATAAAAATGGACTCTAGAAAGTGAGAACTTTGGGGTCTGATTCTGCAAACCAACTTCCAGGAGCATCAGATGAGCATCTGACAAGGCCCTGCTCCCTCCTCATGTCCAGGCCACCTGGCCAGTGGCTTGGCATGAGCAACTTTAAGGCTGGTAACTATGATAACAACCTTGTAGAACCTGTGTGTATGTGTGTGTGTATGAATAAATATGAAGTTGAATGGAATGTTATAGCTATAACTAACTGCTTACTATGATTCTGTATTCACAATAAATGTGGCATTTTGCCTTTTCCCCTTTAATAAGATCCTGCTGGTTTTTATTTTATTGGTATAACACATTAATTGCCTCAACACACTCTTATCATAAGATATATCCCAAAGGTGTCATGTAAGGTATGATATGTAAACTGGTGACACGCTGGTCCCCAAATCATTGCATGATGTATGTATGGGTTGTGCATGAGTTATAGATGTGTGCTGAAAATATGTTCTTAATAAAACCAGCCTGCCCTAGACAAGTGAATGTGTATTTACCTTTCTGACAGGCTTGGTTACAGGCAAAGAACAATTAAAGTGTGTTTACGTATAAGGGAAACAAAGCCATCAAATTAAACGAGTGGGGGAGAACACCACTCAACAGAATTTGCACCCCAGGAAGACTTCCTGGCTCTTCAGGCAGAGACAATGGACTCTGAGTAATATAAGAGGTGCAAAAAAGACTTAATGGCAGGGAGAGCACAGCAGGCTGGGAGTCAGAGGCACTGGGAAAGATTTGTGAGGCCCCATGACAGGAGCTGCAAGTCAGGATTGAGGTGCATTAGCAAAGGTTTGTGGGAACCTGGCCTAAATCACCAGGAGCCAGGCATCTACGTGTTAGTCTTGTGCTGTTAGATCAGTGCAGTATCAGCTAGTTGAAATTCAGCTAAAAAACAGTCGCCTGAGCTTTTAATGGCACAACAAAAGTAAATGGTTTGTTGCACGCTTTAATCAAAGGTGCTGTTGGATTTTGAGGCCCTGACCCAGGCAGCTGATCTGCTCAACCACCACCCAGTGACCCAGCCTTCTCCCTTAGGAAGTAGGCAAGCCTTCTTATCTTGCCTGATGGGTCCTGATTGGCTACTGCCTCATCCCAGCCCTTTCAGCCACCAGAGGACCAAGTCTTGTTGGTTCTAGGAGACCACTTAGAGTTCTGAACTCACTGTTACCAATAAGTAACAGGCAGGAGAAGAGGGGTGGGGAGAGGGGAAAGGGGAGCTTCTTGTGATCTCACAGTCCCACCAAGCCATGACTTCCTCATGTGCACAAGCCACTGACGATGTAACTACGAGGGACAGGAACTGTCCCACTCATCCCAATGGCATGTGGATGATTTATTTCAGGACAGCCCTCCTGCCTGTCCACTTCTGCGAGCACATTGACTCGTTGACACCACTGGGCTTCCCAACAGTTTATCTTCCTAAAACAATGTGCCTTGCAACTGTCATCAGGATCCCTGGACATACAGGATGCATCTCCATCCGTAATGAGCACTCAGCAAGGGAATGGCAGCAGCATTAGGAGGTACCATGGAGGCCAAGAGCTTAGCAGTGTTCAAAGCAGTGTTGCATAGCAAGACTAGCCAAAGTTAGAGTGGTGAGGGTCTCAAATAATGCAGTGGTTTGGAAGGGAGTTAAACTCTTGTGAATCAGGGCATAAGCCAACCTCTAAACCATTTTTTTGCAGGGGGAGGTTTGAGGTTTCCAGCCACATTACAAAATAACTATAGAAACAGACCAAGATGGTTCATTAATTTTAATACCAGGAGGGACCACTATAGTCATCTAGTTTGTCCTTCTACATAACACAGGCTATAGAAATTCCTCCATCAGCCCCCACAACTAGTGGTTGTACTAGAGTACATGTTTTGGAAAAATAGTCACTCTCCAAGTGCTTGGAGAATCCCTCAGAAAGCTGTTGCAATAGTTAACTACCTACCTCCCTGTTCAAAATCTGCATTTCAAACCCAGCACAGCACTCCCTAGGCATGGTGACAAAGACAAAGGCAACCTGGAGAGGGAGAACTACTAGCTGCAGAAAGAGAGGCTGCTGCAGCTTAAGAAAAGGAATCTATCCCAGAGCAGGAGCTGATGCAACAGCAGGAAAAGAGGCAGCCAAAGAGAGCAGGGTGGAGATCCAGCTGCCTGTTTGTAAAGTCTCCACACCAGGAAGAGCTTCCCTGACATACCTGTCCACTCTTTCACCTTTTACATCTTCTCACACAATTAAAAAAAAAAACCCACCTTGGGGGATTGGTGGTTCCAGGAACACTTTAGCCTACAGTGACAAAAACTAATTTCACTCCTTCCTACTTACTTGAATAAGACAGAGATGATTTTGTGACTGAACCAGGGAATAATTTGTCAGGACTCTCTGGATAGGATGTAGCAGTGTTTTTATTTGGTAATAACTGCAAATATTTCCACAAGTCATCACCAGGGCTGTCTGGGGTTTGAACAGCTGAGCCAGTATCTGCAATTTGGTTCTCATTTCAGAGCAGGCTTATCAAGCATTTCATTCCTATTAACTATGCAAACCCAAAAGGCAGCTTAACTGAGGTGGTAGGGAGAGACTCTGAGGTTGGTAACAAATCCTGCTGTAGGAACCCAGCATTTCACAGGCCGTGCCCTGGAATCACTCAGCGGCCACCCCCATTTCTGCAGGGCAGAGACAGGCTCATTAGCATTGCTGTAAGTGGCAGGGCAGGCTCATTTGGCAGAGATCTAGAGCCTCCATGGTTGTAGCTGGGCTTTGCAATCAGTGCTGGGGCGGTGAGGGCCGTTGCTGCCTTGTGGCAGCAGCCTGTGCCTGGGGTCTCACCCAGCGGGCCTGTGCCTGGATTGCCCTGATGTGAGCCAGCATGTTCCCGGCCGCTCTGTGGCTGGGGTCTCGCCCCGCGGGCCCGTGGCTGAGGGGGGGTCCCATGGCTAAGGGGGTGTCGCCTGATGGCCCCGTGGCTGGGTCGCTCTGCTCTGAGCCCCGGTGCGGCCCCCGTGCCCAGAGCATCGGAGAGGCGGGCCCAGAGCTGACTGAGGCGAGGGCAGCGGGGCAGGGCGGGAGGAGCCGGCGCGCTGCGGTGAGCTCCTCCGGCCGGCAGGGGGCACCGGCCACTGCGGGCCCGGCCGGCGCCGCTCTGTCCGGCCCCG